ACTTACCATGAGTTTCATTAAATATCTCCAGCTCCATCTGTTTGGTCACTGGGTCGAATCTGACGATCTTTCCCTCCTGAAATGAACCATCACATGGTTGTTGTTGTTGACATTCCAAAGATATGGTTTTTTATATAATAATTATTTGACTACAGCCAGAAAAATAAAACCACTCACTTTGTATTCTGAAACCTCTGGCGTGTAGTTCTCCGTCAGCTCCAGCAGCTGGGAAAGAAGAAGCATCGATGATGTCACTTATGAACACAGCAGGTGAACGAACTTTGACCTTTAGGCCTGGGTCCTCACCTTGAAGGCAATCCTTTGTCCCACCTGCGGGGGTGCAGCGAGCAGTGGCATAATGCTGTAGTCCTTTTTGGGGGCTGCTTCAACTTCTGCCCCATTCTCCATTTGAAAGACACAGATAACGAAACATCAGCATCCGTACAACCACGGCATCATGATATAGAAAACGGACTTTAACCAACCGTGTTGATGAATGTTATGAACTGAAAAACCTCAGACATTTTCCATGTACTTCCATTTTTAATTTTATGTTTTTTTCTATTCAGTGTTTTTTTTAACTACGACACTTGTAGCAGTGTTTTTGTGTGTATGAGTTTATGTCGTTTCTGAATTTTATTTAAACAACAGCTGCCATTGGCTGGTGAGACCACCTGACTAATGACTTCATCAGTGGGTGGAGACAAACCTGGATGACCACCGACTCGTTGGTCAGTAAGTCCGTCTGGTAGCTTGGCTCCACGGCTCCATTGCAGCTCGATCCAAAACGTCCACCGCGTCCCCTTACGTCCCCTCTTCCGCCGCCGCGACCTCTGTCTCCACGACTACCGCGTCCACCACCGGCTGCCCTCCTGTTGTTGCCCCCTCTCCACGAGGACTGCCCCCCCACACCTTTCAACAGCTGCTGACTTGGTTTTCGAATTATTAGTTCAATCTCCTCTTCACTGTCTGAGTTACGGGTCGCTGCAACGCCGTCGCCAAGAGGAGGCGTGGCCTCATTCGAGGGTCGTTCTTGTGTGCAGCTCGTGGACCGTGTCTTTAAGTCGTCCTGTGATTTGCGTGGTGGAGACAAAGAGGTGAAAGGTTTACCTCTTGGTGGCGCTCTGACACTTGTGGCCTCATCAGAGGAGGTTTCGGACGAGGACGAGGAGGCGGGCTGTGCTTTACTCTGAGCGGGTTTGCCCCCGGTGGAAGTTTTGGAGGCAGCAGGTCCGGGCAATGAGGGTTTTGATACCAGCTTTGATGTGAGAGACTTTTTGGGCGCTTCACCGTCCTCACCGCTGCTGGAGTCACTGGACTTTTTACTCTGTGTCTTCTTTTGAGTGGATTTGTCTCCTGTGGGTGCGTTCACAGTAGCAGGTGTGGACGACTGTCTTTTAGAGTCTGGTTTCGAGGCAGTTTTCGTCCTGGGAGCTTCATCTTCTTCACTGCTGCTGCTACTGGACACTGAAGGCACCACAGACTTTTTGCCTGGCGTCGTCTTTTGTTTGGTGTCGTTTCCTGTAGTTGTTTTGATAGTAGACAGTGGTGTTTTGGGCGTTGACTTTGAGACAACTTTCTTAGCGGGAGCTTCATCTTCTTCACTGCTGTCACTACTGGACTTTGAGGAAACTGTGGATTTTTTACTTTGTGTTTTTCCTTCTGCTCCTGTTGGTTTCTTGATGGTTGCAGCAGTTGATTTTGATGTGACAGTAGAGTCGTTTTTTTCAGCCTTCTGCTTCTTCTTCTTTTCTTTCTTTGCATGTTTGTCTTTTGACTTTGTCTTACATTTCTTAGACCTGGAGACTTGGTCCGTCTCGCCGTTCAGACATTCATTCCTCTTCTTTTTTTTCTTTTTCTTTTTCCACTCCACACTCCGTTCATCTACTTCTGCCTCGTCCTCCTCTTCTTCTTCTTCTTCTGTGGGTCTGTTAAGCTTTCTGCAGTTTTTACTGGACGTGTCTGGGTGGCTGCTGTGGCCGTTTACCTGAGCTGCTGAGTCCACCTTCACCCTGACACAGAGAAAACAAACACCTTGAATAAACATGCAAAGAACTTAAAATACTAATTTCTTTGTGTTCTTAACTTAAGCACTTTTGATGTTTTTTTTTAGCTCAGTCTTTGGAAAACTAATAAAACAAAATGATAACAACAATAACTAATAAATGCAAACACAATGACGTTTAAGACGTGGATAATGGGGGTTAGGGGAAATTTAGTTTTCTTAAGGATGCTAACAGCCTCGTTTTTAAATGCAAACAATGACGTGTAAGACGTGGATAATGGGGGTTAGGGGACACACAGCGTGTTCACCCGAGCCCCTTAATTTGTTTTTTCGCCTCTGGATACAGCGGACACACACACACAGAGAGAGAGAGCACACCCACCAGACGCTGTCGTTGTCCCGGACCAAAAAGATGCTCTCGGTGTGCGGCAGGTAGCAGTCGTCTATGAAGAGGTTGAAGATGCTCCTGGAACTGAACCCAAACTTGTCTCTGATCAAACTCTCCAGGTCCGAGACCACCCGACACGTGTTTAGGTCTACAAGTAGCCAACACATGCGACAGTCGACGACAGAGGGCGGCGGGTAGTCGAAGAAGAGTCGAACACGGATAAAACTGCCGCTGTTAGCAGCCATAGCTGTGGACTGTCGGTGCAGCACAACAGTCGAGCACACATGAAGCAAAAACGCCGCTACTACAGGAAGAACAGGAAGAGCCGGTGATACACTTCCGGTTGGACTTGATGCTTTCACGTGCTACGTAAAAAACTGGAAAATGGAGAACTAACGACTCCACACGTGTCCTGCACTCGCGTATAGTTTACCACTGACAATTTGTGAAATTATTTTGATGCGATATGAGGGGAAATACAAAACAAAACAAAAACCAAATTCTATAATAATAATAATAATAATTTTTACACAAACTAACATTAGAAATACAAATAAAACGGTGAATAAACTAACCTTAGAAATACAAATAAAACGGTGAATAAAGACACATTGAAAAGTATAAGATGTTGTTCTAATAAAGAAGACGATAAATTATATGTAAACAATATAAATAAAAAAGGATTTTGAACAACCTGGGACTTTCAAACTGATCTCTGAAATCTTTTTCTTTTTCTTCTGCTTTTCTTGTAATAAAATAAAACCAAATAAAGTCATTTTCTAGAGGTCGAATCTCTATTCATCATTGGATTTTCGTGGAATATAATCGATGACAAATGAGAATATTATTTTGAAAGTTTAAACATAATAAAGGCGTGCGAGATTTTTGGGAGAGATCAGCTGACTTCAGGGTGTGGTCACGTGGTCTTCTCGGCGTAATAAATGAGCGTAGAACCAAATCAGCCGAACGTTTCACACTTCGACAATGGGTCTGATTCAAGGAGCCTGTCGGCTGTTGGTTGTATTTGCTGTCGTCTTCAGAGAAGGTATGATTCATGTTGTTTATGGACAGAAGTCACCGCTGCTACAGTCGAACGTCTGTAACTGGACATTTGAAGTCGCATCAGATACGAAGTGTTTACACTGATTTAACGTCGCGGTAACGAATAGTACAGTAAACACAAACAACAGTGAAGATGCAACAATGCAGCTTCATATTTACGACACAGAACGACAGGTTGTAATTAAAACTCAACCAGCAGTTGCTGTGTGGAGTCTGAAAGTTGAGCAGTAACGTCATAAAACCGATGAAAAAGTACGTGAAAAAGGTGCAGATCCGGGATCAGTGATGTGCGGAACTCTGGAAGTTTCAGTTTCTGTGTGCTCTCTACATTTTTTTTGTGCGAGTGTTTATGCAGAGATTCTAATCAGTGTTTACGGGACCAGATTTTTATCCTCATCTTATCTCTAATAAAAGCAGTAAAAAGTAAAGGTTAAAAAAAGTCACTGAACGTTTGGATGTGTTGACCCCCCACCCCCCAAACCTTCCCCCCCAGGGCTCCTCAGTCCCCTGGAAGGTAAAGAAGCCTGGAACTATGTGGAGGTGAGGGACGGGGCCCACATGTTCTGGTGGCTGTATTATGCTGACAACCAGTCGGCCGGATACAAGGACCTGCCTCTGGTCATGTGGCTGCAGGTACGACTCCCCACGACCTGTAAAAAGACCTGTTTAAACCTTGCATGGTTTAAATTAACAAACAATGGTTTTCAGTTGTTCTATTTGTTTTTTGTGTTTGTTGTTACACACTTCACTTCAGTCTCTTTGGAACAAATATTTATTAAGATTCTACCTGTTTGTGTTGATATTGTTTATCACTTAAAACAAATATTTATTAAGATTTGTGTTGTGTTTGTGTTGATATTGTTTATCACTTATCTATAAATATGGTAATTATATTTGACCTGGGGTTTTATGAACAGACTCACTGTTTCCTGCAGGTTTTTCTCTCAGGTGTGAATAATCTACAGCCACTGTTTTCACCAGATCAAAGTCAAAGACACTTAAATTCTCCATCTGTTTTTTTTTTTTTAAACTGCAGAAGAGGAAACAAGTCATCGCTCCAAAAATACTCAGCCAGTCATGTTGGCACATGATGTTAGCATGTCTGCACGTCTTCTGTCACGCAATGAGTCAGGAAACAACAGATGATGACTGAAAGTCATCAGTTAAAATAATTAATATAAATATTGTTTTTGTAACGTACATGTGTATTTAGATGGTTTTTAATTTGTTTGTAATTTCTTTGCTGATTTCATTTTGATTCCAATTTTTAAATGGAAAAAAAAACAAAACAGTTCCATTTCCAGCTGCTGCTGTAAAAAAAAACCAAATAGTTCCATTTCCAGCTGCTGCTGTAGTGTGTGTGTGTGTGTGCGTGACATTTTTATGTCCTTGATGTGTCTTCAGGGTGGACCAGGTGGATCAGGAAGTGGTTTTGGGAACTTTGAGGAGATTGGACCTTTGAACAGAGACCTGGAGCCCAGGAAGTCGAGCTGGGTAAAAAATACAACAAAAAACCACAACAGTTTTGGTTTTTGTGATCAGAAGTAACTGAAGCTCAATGATATTAACATGAAGTGTGTGTTCGATGTGTGTGTGTGTGTGTTGTTTCAGGTCCAAGCAGCCAGTGTGTTGTTTGTCGACAACCCCGTGGGCACCGGCTTCAGCTACACCGAACGCTCGGATGGTTACGCCACCAACGTGGCCATGGTTTCCTCCGACATGTTGGTGCTGCTCGGACACTTCTTCGCAGAGAAGCCAGAGTTCCAGGTAATCTGACGCTTCAGTCATGACGGTCAGTGTTGTGTCTGTGGTCCAGTGGAGAGGCTGTGGGTGATCGACCAGGAACTTACCGATCAACGTGTTTCTCTCCACAGAACGTTCCGTTCTACATCTTCTCTGAGTCCTACGGAGGGAAGATGGCAGCTGCCATTTCACTGGACCTCACCAAGGTGACCGTTGTTGTCGACATAAAATCTGTTTTCTTTTTTTGATTTTTACTTCAAATGTCAGAATTCTTTAAAAAACAAACCAACATCCATCGATCGTCTGACTCTGGTCTCTTGTCTTTCTAGGCTATTGCACAAGGAACGGTGAAATGTAATTTTGCTGGTGTAGCACTCGGAGACTCGTGGATTTCACCACTTGGTCAGTATGACTACGTCTTCACGGTTATTTTTAAGTATTTGTTCCGTATTTAGGACTACTTCTTCTTTTGTCTGCCCCCTCTGGGGTCGGGGCAGATGATCGTCTGCCTCCATCTCACCCTCTCTGGTGCCCCCTACTGTTACTGTTGCACCAACCACCTCCATGTCCTCCATCAGTACCACCTTAAATCCTGACACTTGTCTCCAAACACAGTCCAGGTTTCTTCTAGACTTTTATAGACATAACAACCAGACTGACCCTCAGACTTGTGTTTCCTGTGCAGACTCTGTGATGACGTGGGGACCGTACCTCTACACCACTGTGAGTAACTCGGTCTAAAAGATACGTTTGTTCTGATGACACGATCGTCTTTTCCATCAAACACTGGTTAAAAAAAAAACATGTAATCTCTGGTGGTTAGCACAACTGCATTCTACGCAAAGTCCTGGGTTCGATTCCCAGGCCTGTTGCAGCACATCTGCTGTTATCCCCACCGTGGGATCAATACCGTTTGTACCACGTCACAGTCTGTTCCACGTCCTTTGACCTTCAGTTGTATTTGGTGAAGAACTGGGAATGTGGACGTCTATAGTCGAACCTGACTGTTGTCTTCTGTCCTGCAGTCCCTGCTGGACGATAACGGCCTGTCCGAGGTGACCAGCGCAGCGGAGGAGGTGAAGAAGGCGGTGGAGCAGCAGCAGTTTGAGAAGGCCACAGAGCTGTGGTCGATGGCCGAGACTGCAGTGGAGCAGGTCGGTGCAGGAGACACTGATGTAGACTGACGTAGACTGACGTTGTGCAGGAGACACTGATGTAGACTGATGTAGACTGACGTAGGCACAGAGGTTTGACTGGTTTTTATAATGGTCTTTTCAGAACACCAACGGCGTGAACTTCTACAACATCCTCACCCAGGAACCAGATGACAAACGTGTCTCCACCTCAGGAGAAAACTTCATGAGTGAGACACGTCACCATGACTTCATATTCATTCACTTCCTGCTTAGTAACAATTAACTACTGTACAGTAAACTGCAAATCTTAGAGAACAGATTGTTGTCTTTGTTGGAAGTGAAACAGCCTCCTCTAGTGGACACAGAGGGTAATTGTAGGCTTACTTTTCTTTTCTTTCTTTCTTTTTTCTTTCCCCTCTAATAACCAGCTCTACAGATACGTCGCCACATCAGGCCCCTCCACAGGCAGTCACTGAGTGAGCTGATGAATGGACCAATCAAGAAGAAGCTTGGCATCATACCCCAGAATGTCACATGGGGAGGTAAGAGTGTCTGAACAGTGAGGTGTCGTCCAGTGTCTCACCCTCAGACGTACCGACCGATGTTGTATTTTCTCGTCCTCCTGTGTCAAGGTCAGGCAGAGGAAGTGTTCAGCAACATGGCAGGAGACTTCATGAAGCCAGTGGTGGACGTGGTGGACCAGCTGCTGAGCGCTGGGGTCAACGTCACCGTCTACAATGGACAGCTGGACCTCATAGTGGACACCATGGGTATGACGGTCAGAGGTACTGACTGGCAGCTTTATGTTTGTCCCACAAATCTGAAGTTTGTTTTTTTTTTCGCCATCAGGTCAAGAGCTGTGGGTGAAGCGGCTGAAGTGGGAGGGGCTTCCTAGGTTCAACGCGCTGAGATGGAGCGCTCTGGACGACCCCGGCGCCCAGGGTGTGACCGGAGCCTTCTGCAAAAACTACAAGAACTTCGCCTTCTACTGGATCCTCCGAGCGGGTCACATGGTGAGAGACGGCCCGTGTGGTTTATAGGTTCTAGAAGGTTCTGTGTTCCATGTGCTTCGTGGATGTGACGTTCTGATGTTCTGGACAGATTCCCTCGGACCAGGGACCCATGGCTCTACAGATGATGAGGATGATCACTCAGCAGGTCTGAGGCTCGGACCTCGGCTGGAACGGCTCTGACAATCACCACTTCAATAATTCTATCACTTGTCGGCTAAATCAAACACACAAACACACAGGACTTTATATCTGGAATGTAATAAAAACTAATGATTTGTTTTCTACACTCTGATTTTTCTCAGTTTTTTTCCTGCATTAAACTAATTATCATTCACAAAAATCACGATTGAACAGAGTTTACATTGATATTTAAATAATTAAATGAGTGAATAAAATGACTTCACGATTGAACGGGGAGTTTAAAGGGTAAACACGTGATTACATTGATATTCAAATAATTAAATGAGTGAATAAAATGACACAATAATGAGTGAGTGAACAGACAGATAAATGACTGGGTAGTTGAGTGACTGAGCAGCAGCAGCAGATCAGTGACGCGCTCTCAGTAACACAGCGCGTCACCAGCGCCTCTGGTTGGAGCGTCTCTCCAGAGCAAAGGAGAAAAACACACACACACGGTGCAAAAGTCAGCGCGAAATTTGCGGTCACCATGAGCCGCCGGTACCGTGCGCTCCTCCGGTTCTCACTGCTACTGCTGCTCCTGGAGCCCGCGGACGCGGCGGCGGCGGTGGAATACTCCTCCACCAAGACCGACCTGGACTACGAGTTCGGTGATTACCGGGGGAAGTGGTGCATCGACGACCACGGTTTCGTCTACGCCATCGGAGAGGTTTATTACCCGAGCCCCAGCGGGTGTCCGTGCACATGCACCGTAGACGGACCGGTATGCATTAGACCCAAGTGCCCGCGCATCCACCCCCGGTGCACCCGCATCAGGTACAAGGCGTGCTGCCCGGTTTGCGAGGCCGTGGCGCGGGTCTGTGTCTACGGAGGGAAAACGTACCGACTCCTGGAGGAATTCAGGGTGAGAAGGTGTAGAACTGTCTGCACTTCACACACACACACACACGAACCAAACTTTAGCAAAGTGACGTCAGAGAGACTGTCTGTGCGTAATTTGGAATTTACGCAAAATAACCAACTGTTGTCTCCATATGTTGGACAACGATTTCGTTAAGAAGTTTATTGTTGGAGTTGATAAGTTTGCTCTGATACACTGATCAAAGAGGGCGGAGTCAATATTTGTTTTTTTAAATATTCTAGTTGGCTGTAAAATATTTGATTCCGTGTTTAAATCCGCTCACTATCATTTTGTTGTATATTTTTTTAACATGCAAGTATTTTATTTACATCTTCTAATTGGAATACTTCAGTAGTATTTCTGATGTTGATCCCAAAACGGTTTAGTTTAGAAAAGCACTAAATATATATACAAATATAATAAAAAATAATTTACTAATTGATTTGAAGTAGAACTGTTTTGGTTGGTGACCAACTTTTTTCTTACAGTCACGTCATTAATAATTTTGATAATTAAATTTCAGGGCCTTTAAACACTCGTCTTAGTAGTTGTATTTCTGTAGTATTTAAAAATATTTTCTCCCCTTTTGTCGTTTTGTTCCAGTTGTCGCGGTGCGAGCGGTGTCGCTGTGAAGCCAACAGAGAAGTGTACTGCAGTATTTCTGAATGCCCCGCCCCTCACTGTGTCAACCCCACCTACGAACCCAACCACTGCTGCCCGGTGTGTAAGACAGGTGAGTCTCCATCACTGCCCTGTACAAGGTAACGACGGTTCTCTGACAAAAAAGAATGGTAAAAAAAAAATGCTCACACAAAGAAAAAAAATTTAAAGAAAAAAAATTAAAATAAATTAAAATTCTAAAAATTGACTGTTTTACGTCAGTGTTACTATTTCCGGTACAACTCTCTCTGGTATTTAGACAAAAATAGCAATTTTCCATTTATTTCAAGTTTTTGCCATTTTAAAAAAAAATTAGCCATAGGCTAAATTTAAGGTATTTTTTAAAAACTTTTTATAACTCATTATGCACCATGCGATTAATTAGATCAAAGTTACTTACACTTTTGTATTGGTTTTTGAAGTATTCGTAAAGAGAATTATACAAATAATTTAGCGACTTCCTCTCATATACACCAACACTGGCATCTTTAGCTGTAAAGACACACACACACACACACACACACAAACACACACCTGAGACAAGCATGTGTCGTGTGTATGTGTGTGTGTGTCCTCAGCCCGCAGCACTGGTTACATCACCTCAGCTCACAGAACTGGGTCTGTTATGTCACCGTGTTTCAGTGCCACCGGCGCTGAAGTCCGTTTCTCCCATTGATGGGATTTTCAGCGGGGAACAGATGGTTTCGCTTTGATGCGTCATTTCTTTTCCCAAATTGGCTCATGTCAGTGGGCATCAGATGAACCGCACTTCCTGTCCTCCCGCTGTGGAGTTGGTAATTGTTTCAGTGGGGAACTGCCAAGTAAAGGACCCCCCCCTCCCCCCCCCCTCTGTGAGTGACAAAGGTGATAATCTTTTTCGGCCTACGTGATTCTCCAGCGTTCGCAGTCCTCTCACTGCTCTACCAGAAACACCATGGACTCCACAAACCAGAGGGAAAAGGCTGAAGAATAAACACAGATCTGATCAATTCTCCATTATTTTGTCTTGTTCCTCTCCAGGGTCCATCGTCCCTGGAGCCCCCCCGCCCAACGACGTCTTCAAACCCGCCCATCACTATAGCAAACAAAAAGCAGCTCAGAGCTGACTGTCACCCTAACTTTGAACCAATCAGTCACTCCGGCATCACATCGAATCTATAATGTCAGCGATTTAGATGTCCTGCATCATTTTCACATACTTCTCTGCCACTCCTGACTAACCCATTCAGTACCACAATTCCACCACTGGCACCACTGCTTCCTCTAAAAATCCACAAATCCACAGTGAAACTACTACAGTCACTGCAACTCTTACATCATTTTTTAAAAAATAAATCAATATTCATTGAATAAACAATAATCAGATTTTTTTTTTCATCCAGGTCCAAACTGCTTCGCCGGGAGCCGGGTGATAGCAGCAGGGGAGCGGGTCAACATCGACGATCAAACCGTTTGCTACTGCACCTATCGGGACGGGACGTGGCACACGCATCCCCACGCCACCTGCGAGCTGCGCAACCAAACCAGCCCCCCCACACGTGATGATCGCATCGAAATCTTCAGAGACGAGGAAGCCCGGGGGACGGGGGGGAGGCCCAGTATCCCCTGGCTGGACGCAATTCCATAAAGTGGACCGTTGATGAAATCAGTCGGATGAAAACGAGCAGTGAAAAACTTCAAAAAGTCAAATATTATGAGTAAAATGTTACTGTGAGAAATACATAAATAGTAACTAATAAACGGCCACTTCTTCAGGTACATCCACTCTGTACCTGATTGTGACCCCCGCCCCACATTTATGCTAATAGTGCTAATTACATCATGTATTTTATCCACCACATCCTCATGACTCTGACAAGAACATCTTCTTGTAGCTCCTCCCTCTCATCATCTCTTCTACTGTTACAGTAACATCTACATTATTAAATCTTCTCAGGTCTCATCCTCTCCCCGACACCGTCCCCCTTATCTCTGATCCGTCCTCCCTGAAGATCCACCCTCATCTGCTTATCTCTGATCCGTCCTCCCTGAAGATGATGTCAACATCTTCATCTTCTCAGCCTTCTGGTCCATCTCTAAACCAACCATCATAGCAGATCTCACTGCTGTCCTATTTCCCTTCAACTTTGTAACAACCTTTCTGTTAGAAATCAACAAGAACTTATAGCACAAACCAACTAAGACCGACATCAAGAGTGAAATAGGTAAAAATAGGTGAGTATATATTTGTCGTTGTACTTTATGAATGAGGAGCAGGTGTCAGGTACAGACGGTGGCCATGACCTGCTGCTCTCCATCTGGAGTCATCAACATGTCCAACCCTGTCTCTCTGTCTCCAACAGACACTGCAGTAGGTTAGTAAGGGGAAAAAAAAAAACTGTATGAAATTCTTGTGGTATAAACCATTTTAAAGGTAATAGAATAAAATGTATAAAGTTAATTTTCATCCAAACATAAAAACCGTGACTGTATTTGTGGTGTCATTTACTCAGCTGTGTAATAAGTTTAACAAACAAAACTCAGGCCAAACACAACAGCACAACAGTTATACTGTAAAATAAAGTGATGGAAAAAAAACTTTAGCTTGAAATCATTTTAAACGTAAACCATTAAGACAAGTTTTTTTTTTTTTTTTTACCTTCCATGTCAAAAAGTTATGGAAGGTAAAAAACTGTTTTGTTGCTCTGACATCACTTCACACAAACACAGATTATCAAAAACACGTGGTCTGAAAGAGAACTGTTTTAACCCGACACCATGCTGTAGTTTTTTTTTGTGCCACACCTCTGTCCTATCATTTATTTGTCCATATCCTGCTGGGCTGTTTTAAATGACAACTTCACGAGACAAACACCTGGAACAAACACCACATGTTTTAAACATTCACACCAGGACATGTGGCTTCTTTTACAACACTTTATTGAAAACAGAGTATCCAGATCAGGCGATGCTGCCAGCGTTGGAGGCGATCCTGGGCCACAAGTCAGCGCACTCTTTGGCCACTGGTCCTGTGATGGCTGAACCTGCAGACACAGAAGGTGACGTTCACACCCGAGGATTAGAACACGGCTGTCGTACAGCAACTGCTATCGAGCAAAAACTATACTTAAATTTAAAAAAAAAGAAAAAAAGTTGAGCTTGTTTCATTCACTGATTGAGCTCAGTCAGCCACTGTGTCGCTGCCGTCTCACCCACAGTGATGAGTTCAATATTCCCTTCTACGACAACTCACCCAGCCACTGACCAGACAAAGCAAGTGCTTTTGGAAGGGGGGGGGGCACAAGTGTGTATTTGTAATCATTTGACTGGGCTGTAATTTTCCCCCTGAATATATTTACACTTTAACATAATTTTACAAATATTTTCAATTACAATTTTCTATTCAAAAACATTTTTGAATAATTTTACAATTATATATTTTTACAATTACAATTTTGTATTCAAAAAAAAGTTTTTGTAAAATTATAATACGAAACAAAATTATTAGTTTTTTTTTTACAACTTGTGATTAGCTTATTGTATTCCCATTGAAATATTAATTCTTAGCTGACCTGTGTAACCCCTTTGTAAATTTAAAAAAAGAAAAGTCTCCAACCCACCTTTCATTTCTCCTTTGTTGTTCACTATGACCCCTGCATTGTCTTCAAAGTAGAGAAAAACGCCATCTTTTCGCCGATACGACTTCCGCTGCCGTATTACCACCGCAGGATGCACTGTGGAGGACGCAGGTTAGAAAACCGACCACTAGACTGTAGGCAAACAGACGCGGCTGAGGATACACCTTCAGTTTCACTGCCTAATCTATCGTTTACACAGAGGCTACACACACACCACAAACACTGGTCTTTAATTAATTTACAGCCGTCTTTCAGACCACGTGCAGACGCTCACCCTTCTTCCTGAGTTCTGGTTTGCCTTTCTTCACTGTGGCCATGACCATGTCACCGACTCCTGCAGCGGGCAGACGGTTCAGACGTCCCTTGATGCCCTTCACAGAGATGATGTACAGGTTCTTGGCACCTGAGGAAGAAGATGGAGATGTGAGGGACGGACAGGAGAAGATGACAGAGTGACATCCGGGACATGACGCTGTCATTTGTCTCATTCACTGATTGAGATCAGTCAGCCACTGTGTCGCTGCCGTCTCACCCACAGTGATGAGTTCAATATTCCCTTTTACGACAACTCACCCAGCCACTGACCAGACAAAGCAAGTGCTTTTGAAAGGGTTCAAATGCCAAGACAGAATGGACCAAAATATAAACTCACGAACATCTAGTTTATCATTCATTATTTCACTAAACAGAAATAATTTATACAACTTAAAAAACATTCATACAATACCTACAACATAAATGTATTTTAGTCAAACCTTAAAATTTTATTAAATAGGTTTGAAAGACCATCTACACCAATGGCACTTTTTTAAACTATTCTTATATGAAAACTTCAGTCATTTACCTAAATCCTATGATGTGTATAACAAGATGCATCTCTGACCATTTTCTTCACCAAGTCTTATGTTTGTTACAGCATTTGTCAACAATTCTACATGATTCAACATCACAGTTGCTAATGAGCAGCAGACGACTCTGCATCCACTGCAGCCTGTGATGTTTTCATTCATTGGAGCACACGTTAGCAGTCACGCCAAGAGCATTTTTAAGAACAGATTAATGACTAGAATAAATCACTTTTTTGGGATTTGGGACAGACATGAACCAATCACAATGTTTAAATATAAGACAAGCCAATCCAAGGGGTAACAGGAACCAAAATACAACACGTGAGGTTCAAATTAACATGTGTAGATGCCACAACAATTTAAAAGCAGCAGTTATTTAACTTTTACTAATGCCAACTTTACAAGTAACCATTAAAGATCAAAACCTTCAGAGCAGGCTGAAAGGTCAGACTAAAGTACAATAAAGCTCAACTCATCACAGCAGGTTGAAAAGTCAGACTAAAGTACAATAAAGCTCAACCAACAGCAGCATAAAAAAACTTAAACCAAAACAACACAATATATCTAACAAAAACCAGTAAATGACCATCACTACACCAATAACATCATGATTAATTTATTTTAAAGTAAAGCAGATATTTACCTGTGTTGTCAGCGCAGTTGATGACTGCTCCCACTGGGAGACCCAGTGAGATGCGGAACTTGGCTCCAGAAGAACCACCACGTCCTGATGGGAAGAAAACGTACGATTCACGTTAAATGTGTCCAGTGTTCTTCCATTAAGACCAACATTCACGACATGCACCGCGTTTCTGCCCAAAGAGACTTGCTATTTAAGTGTTTACTTAAAGTGACAAACTTCACGACTTACCATTTATACAGACAGGAAAACAATTATCAATTAATGAGTTTGTTAAACTAGGCGTACATACAAAACTTTTTAGTTCTGTAACATGTGGGACCTTTACTCAAATACAACCAGAAGCAGCTAAATGTTAGCTTTAAGCTAAACACCGGGACACATTAATTGAAATGCCCTATTTCTCTATACAATTTGTTTGCATGTTAACACTGTTGTCGCAAGAATCATTAGAGAGTAAATAACCGTGTTTAATATTCACGTACTCGTTTACATTCCGGGTTTTTCTTTAGCTTCGTGCCTACATGGCGCTGACAGCGAAACATGGCTTCCACCGAACTAGCTAGCAAAAAAAAAGTCATCGTACAAATATATTCACACCGTTTAAACAAACGACGCAACTATACTTCGATATGTTGTGTTTTAACTGCGATGTTACGCAAAAACCTCATCCTATAAAGAGATGCGGCATTACATCTGCAGATGGTTGCGGATTAAACGAGAATGAATTCATACCTCTCTTAGACATTGCTGCGGAGGAGAAAGAGGAAGAAGGAAGAGAGGGATTGTGGGATATAAAGTTGAGACAAACTACATCCGGGTCATCGCGCGGCGACGTGCTGCCTTCAATACCATCGAAAATGTGACAGACACTAAAAGTTTCGACTGTAAACGACTGTAATAACTATAATAATAATTACTATATGTTAGAAGTTTTATTGACAATGATGCGATTAGCATGTAGCAATTAGCATTAGGACAGATATTAACACCAGCTCATTAGTCCAACACTAATAAATTATGAGGTTTTCACCATAATATTTAAATCAATATACTTTAAAAAAAATCAAATCGTGTGTTTATAAACGAAAGGTTCAATGATAAGATAGTTCAGAAAACATCAAATATATTGGAAAAAACACTTTGCTCACGGTGGGAATTAAACTTCCCAGTAGATGGCAGCAAAACATCGAACACTTTGCTCACGGTGGGAATTGCCATCTACTTCCCAGTAGATGGCAGCAAAACATCATCACCGAATCTGCTGTACTGCAGTTACGGGGATAGACAAATAAACACAAACAAACGACATGGTTGTAAATGAGCATGTCGCTCATTTACAACAATGTTATTTGCTGAAACGCGTTAATTAGTTTCAGTGATAGTAAAAATCTGTTTATTTTCACGGTTTCTCACAGCTGAAATAGAATAGGAATTTTTATTTTCACAGTTTGTCAATTTAACATTAGCGTGAAACAAATAAAACTTCAGCTGTGGCAGAAAAACAGACTGATAAGGCTTGATGTGATGAATTTTCATTGTCAGAAAACCGTGGAATTCAGTCTAAACACTACTGGTTGCAGAAATATATATTATCCACAACTCCACTTCTAAATAAGAAATAGCTCTGTGCAGTGGGATCTTTCATAACCCACTGACTGTAAACGTAAAATGTAGGTTTCGGTGACACTGCCGCGTGCACAAGTCCAAGGCACATAAATAATGTACACATGTGGGAAATCCAGTTAAGATTATTTTTCTTCCAATGAAAAAAATAAAATCTTGTCTTTTATCATTGCGCTTACACTGTATATTTATGCTCCCACTCTTAAATATTTGCAACTTTTGTCCCTGATTAAACCCTTATTTGAATTTAAATCTATCATCATATTTATGCCTCCTTATGTTCCCTGATCAGGTCACAGCAAACAAGCTTTACAAACATTTTAACATTTTCACTTTTCATTCCTGTTAATACCGTTTCTATCTGAAGATTTTGAGAAGATTCCCATGAAAAGAACAATGAAATGCAGCACAATCCATTTTCTGTACCAATGATTTGGCAAATTGAACATATTGTAGGAGTCGCTGTATGTCAGAAAACAACTGGTCCTGGATCAGATCTGTTCATCACGGACAGATATCCTCCACAGAGACACACCTGCAGCTGGAGGACCACTCCAGGGGTTACCTTGACATTTGACATTTGAGTGTATTCTTTGTCTTCAGCAGAGGTGTAATAGAGCATATGGGCTGAAAGGGCCTTTTGGCCCAGTCTAATGTCAGTAGAGAAGGTATAATCCACATTTTTGACAGATCCCCGGGGGTGAAGAATAATAGAGAAAGACTCAAAATGTCAAGGCATCCTTTCAGTGTCTTCCTCTGCTTTAACTAGTTTGACTCTCTAAAGTTTCCGCCCCTAAAGGTCCGCTGTTCAACATTTGGGAGAGTTTGCCCACAGAAATTGAAAAAGACTCAAAACTGCGTTTGAGGAAATGAATAAAATATTTGAGGTATTTTTCTGTTGGTGTTTGTAGTCAGAGGCCATGTTTACACCAAACCGTCCGGTCCAGAAAAAACAAAACAAGACAAACAACAACAAAAAGCCTGATAACGCAATGTCTGGGTTTCGTCCAATTGAAAAAAAAAATTAATATATATATAAATATTATTAATATTTTGTGGACCCCCAAACATGGGTCCGAGGACCCCAGGTGTCCGGGGACCCCTGATTGAGAACTACAGTTCATTGTACTGCTCTCAGTCTAAAGGGTTAAGGATGTGAGGAATGAAGATTTTAATTCAACTGTTGCCGTGGACGTGGTTGTCAACAGTTGTTTGTCTCCAAACACCGCCCCCTCAGTGCAGTGGTCACCTGTCCTCGCTGTTTCCTGCCTCTTGCCTCCAGCTTCCTCAACAACCTGAGAGGAAAAAGCAGGAGAACAACAACAACAACAATATTTTACTTTAAATTTTTATTATGCTGCTGTTTTTCCCCTCAAGTCCATGTAAATACGTTTGACCTGTGAAGGAACTCCAGCTCAGAGAGGTGTTTATTTGCATTTTTCAAGTAGGTAGTTGTGAATAAAAAAAAAACTAAAACTAATTTCCAAATCCTAACTTGAACAATGAGGTTTCTCACCTGTTTCACCTCAGTGTTCGTTTTTTCACTGTCATTTAGTGGAGACGCCTCCGTGTCGACAAAACAGTCAGTCAGTCAGTCAATCAGTCAGTCAGTCAGTCAGTCAGACAGTCAGACAGTCAGTCAGTCAGACAGACAGTCAGACAGTCAGACAGACAGTCAGACAGACAGACAGTCAGCCAGTCAGTCAGTCAGTCAGTCAGTCAGCCAGCCAGTCAGTCAGTCAGTCAGTCAGCCAGCCAGTCAGTCAGTCAGTCAGTCAGCCAGTCAGTCAGTCAGTCAGTCAATCAGTCAGTCAGTCAGTCAGTCAGACAGTCAGACAGTCAGTCAGACAGTCAGTCAAGTTAATGTGTTGATCATGTTGAATCATTCATCATGAAATGAATCAGAAGACACAACATAACTGGGTTTGAAGTGTAGAATAAAAAGGTCAAAGTTCATGACCCCACGGCCTCTCTCTCCTTCATTCACTCGTCTGTGGGACAGCGTTCAATAACTCACACTGATCCCAGCCTTTTCTTCTCCCATCAAAGCCGGTGATGGCGGTGATGGCTCCCTCTGAAGCTCCGTGTCACTTCAGAGCGCACGCCGTGTGCTCACGACGCCGTCCTGCCTTTTCCCTTCGCCCGTGACGACGCCGTCCTGCCTTTTCCCTTCGCCACAATTTTCATTTTCATCCCATTTTGTGACTCATTTCTTGTTTGTGAGGCTGACAGAGACGGAGCCGGCGGCTGGATCGAAGCGCCGCTCATCGCGCTCCTCCTCACAGGTCGCTCTGTGCGGGGCATGGCTCGGCACTAAAGCAGAGATGCTGCTAAAAGCTGGGGTTGAGGCCCTGCCTGCTGTGACGCCCGGCTACAGAATCAATTCAGAAAACCTTTTTTTTATCCCCATGGAGCAAAAGGTGGAACATGGAGGGAAAAATATAAAAATAAAAAATACAAAAATATGAAGGAAGGAGTAAAAAAAACAATGATAAAATATAAATATAATGTAATGTCCGGTTACCTGTGTAGGGTTCCAGAGAGTAGTGGTTATTACATCTGCCTTACACACAGGAGGTCCTGGGTTGGAGCCCCGGAGTGGCAGCAGATCTGATGTCAACTACACAACAACACAACACAACTACACAACGACCTTAGCCCCTTGAATTCTGCAGCGTCAGCTCTTTAATCCACGGACGCCGTCGTTCTCAGCTCCGTTGAATGTGAATCCGACCTCGTGATTCAGTGAAGTGGGATTTTACCAAATTAAATCGGACTTGATCTTTAAAAAAAAAAGATAATTTTCTACCTGGGCTGCTGCTTCCTGAGCCATTTCTTTTTCCAGTCATAAAAACATTTCTGAGTGGCTAATTGCTAACGCTGCGGCGACATTAACTCCGATGTTCTCAAATCATTCGGCAGCTCCTCCATTATCCCACACCACTCCACATCCATCAGTGTCCAATCAGGACGGGACAAAGACGGGGTCCGTCTGAAACCACCGGCTGTTTGGCAGAAAATTAAAGATCCTGACGGTCGGGAAAAAAAAGAAAAGAAAATCAGCCAGACTGGACTGTGCAGCGGGCCAGATTTGGCCCACGGGATTGGACGGTGCAGCGGGCCAGATTTGGCCCACGG